ATGGAATCAACGCTTAAGAATTGTTTGCTCTTATTAAAACATTGAATACAATTTGCATTTTAATTTCTATAGCAATTAATTTTAGATTGTCCGAGCACTTGTGTGATGTGAAATATACTTGTTTATAAGAGGAAGTTAAAGAAAAAGTTTATATGGACTCTCCATTAGGATTTGATAGCTCTTTCACAAAAATTAAATTGTGAAAATTGAGAATGACACTTTATGGTTTTAAAAAGCCCACAAGAACATGGTTTGATAGATTTACTGAACTTGTGTATCAAATGGGATACAAATAAAGTCAGTGAGACCATACTCTTTTTATAAAATACTCCATTGACGTTGAAGGAAAGAAATAACTTAGAATAAAATTTGTTGAATAATTTGAAATCAAGGAACTATCATATTCCAATACTCGGGTATAGAAGTTGCTCGATTAGGAAAAAAAAATTTCTCTCAATAAAAACTATTATGGACCTAATTAAAAGAAATAATGATGGCTGATTGTAAACCAGGTGAAATTTTAATTGAACTAAATAAAAAACTCCACAAATAAAGAAGAAATATAAGTTAACATAAGCCAATATCAATGATAAGTTGGGCAACTAATATATCTATCATATACACGTTATAGCATTGCATTTATAATAAGTCTCATTAGTTAGTTTATGCATAAACCCAAAAAGTCTCATATTCCTGCTACTTACGAGATTCTAAAGTATTTCAAACCAAATATGGGTATGAAATTTTTCTGAAAAAGTCGTGATGCTCCATAAGTTGAATTTAACATTGATGCTATGTGGGGTCACTAGTGGATAAAAGATCCATTTCGGGATTTTACACACTTATGGGTGAAAGTCTTATAATATGTAGAAACAAAAGATAACCTACGATTTGAAGATCCACCATTGAATCTAAATCAAAGCTATTAATTACTCAAGACATCAGACACCTTTTTAGGTCTCCTGCAAGGTGTTTGGGAAATGAATTTAGTGGGAAGATGGTTATGGAATAACAAGGGGATGATAATATGGGTGGGCGACGACATTTGAATGGAGATAAATGTGTCTCGACTGAATATTGTGGGTTGAACGGCGGATGATAAGATACAGGCAGCGAGGAGGATCCACCGTTGTTCTTGAGCAAGATATAGATACACCATTTGCAAAATGAAGATGATAAAATACTCCAAAGAGTATAGAATAGATAATAAAGTTTCCAAACACAATAATAATGGACAAAAGTTTTGCAAAAACAGAAAAATAAAATATATAAATAGTCTGATGCTGGAAAAGAAACTCAAATTAGAAGAAAAAAATGAAATAAATCATAAAAAATAAACAAATTAAAAATCAAGTAGACGAGTTGCCAGTTTCGTGATCGTGAGATTGCTACAATCTTACGGAATCACTGATTCCGCAGGATTGTGGAGCTTCCACCATCGGAATTGCGGTTCTGTTGAAAAAGCTCCTACATTATTATTCTGAGCTTGGAGAGACTTCTTTGGAAGGACTGATCTCAATGTCAGATGTTCTTTCTCACAGAATATCTAAGAAGATTTTCAAAGTTGTAATTCACCACTTTTGTTTGATCATCTGTCTGCGGGTGTACTGCTGAACTAAATTGAAACTTGTCACTCAGTTATTTTATATAACTTTTTTGAAATGGTTTTATCTGAAGTGTTGATATGTTGGACCTCTTTAAGTAACGACAACCTAGAGGGTAGGTTATATGTTTGACAATTTCAAAATCTACTTTGCTGGGGTTACCATATGTTTGGTATCAGCTCCTTGGACTCATTGTCCTTTAGGACAACCAATGCTAATCTTGGTGGTGCTTCAAACCAATGCTAATCTTGGTAGTGCTTCTCTCTCATGCTCAGTCTAGGACTCGTTGAATCACCAATATCTCACCCTCACCATCTGTAATTTGACACTCCTTTCAACCAATGCTAATCTTGGTGGTGCTTCTCTCTCAAGCTCAGTCTAGGACTCGTTGAATCACCAACATCTCACCCTCACCATCTGTAATTTGACACTCCTTTTTGACATCTTTATTCTGTCTGTGTCACTGTCTGTTTCTTCAATTGTTCTTTGCTCCGTGAAGGAGATCATTCTTTTGTTTGGGCAATCTAATACAATGTGCTTAAAATTGTGGCACTTGAAGAACTTCTTGAGTGGTATATATTTGAGGGTGCTGGTTTCTCCACTCTAAACTAGTTTTTTCTCGAATGAAATTGGTTTGGATGTTCTACTTGGTGTGCTTTTGCTGCTTGATCTTGCATTCGAATTCGGTCTATAAAATATGACGGTCAATTGGTGACATTATTGTTTCTTTACCTTCAAAATTAGGGCATGTACATTGAGTAGGGACCAATACAACTGAGGCTGTACCACATTACTAATAGACGGCTATAGTCCTTCATGATATCTCACTATGATGTGCTTTGCTGATTCCACCAATTCACATTTTTATATAAGTTGACCAAATTCAGCTATGTACTCCACAAAAGAGTTTCTTTAGCATAGTTGATGCTGTTATAAACATATCTTGCTGATAATGCATGGGAAGATATTTATGATGCATCTCCTTTTTCATCTTAAACTTTGTAGTAATTTTATTTTTCCTCTCATGCTAGCATAGGTGCTTCAAATTTTATCACCATAGAGATGTATTATTTTTAACTTAATAGCATTTTGTTTTACACTTATGTTAGTTGAAGCTTTTTTGGATTCAGAGACCCGTTCCACTATTTGTAGCCACTCGATGAATTCTTTCGGATCCATGCAATCGTAAAATTCTGACAAGTCAATCATCATTTCAAAAGTTTGGCTTCTCCTCTGATATTTTATGCCAAATCTTTGAGATATTGGCTCTTCATCACTGCAAAGTGCATGGTGAAAGACATTAAATTCATTCTCTTGATCTGGCTAGTCACCTTTATGACTATGGGTGATCTCTCCTGATTGTCTCCTTTCACAGGTGGCAAATTTATATTGCAGTTCAAGGATTTCCCATTTCATGTTTTTCATAGTGAGCTCATAAATACTTCGTTGCAAGTTTCTCCTTGGCGGCATGATGGTCGTATTTCCAATGAAAGTTTTGACAAAAAGAAAGATATTATTTAGAGTTAGGGTTAGGGTTGGGGCTAAGTGGATGATGTTGGAAAAAATTTTTGTTGGGGGTGTTAGGTTAGGCTATATTGATTCTTGGTTTAGGTGTAGGAAGGACAAGTCCCTTAAAAACTAGGGCTTGCTGGGCTTTGATACCATACGATACCATGTTATGGCTCCTAGAAGGTGTTTGAGAAGTAGATTTAGCTGGGAGGTGCTTGCAGAATAGCAAGGGGATGATAATATGGGCTTGAAAGTGTCTGGAGTGCAAATGAAAACAACTGGTTAAACGATGAATGGTAAGATACGGGTGGCGAGGAGGATTCACCACATGTTCTTGAGCGAGATACAGATACATTATTGGTAAAAAATAGATGATACAACACTCCGAAGAGCATAAAATAGATGATAAAATCTATAAGCACAATAACCATAGCCAAAAGTTATCGAAAATAGAAAAATAAAACATATAAATAGTCTCCTACTAGAAAGACCAAAAGTTATCGAAAATAGAAAAATAAAACAAATAAATAGTCTCCTACTAGAAAGAAACCCTCAAAATCAGAAAAGGAAAAAAAAAGACAAAAATAAAAAATCAGATGGGTGGGCTATCAGTTTCGAGATTGCGAGCGATCTCACATGATCGCTTATTCCATGGGATCATGGAGCTTTTGGGATCAGAAGTGAGGTTCTGTTGGAAAATCTCTCGCCTTAGGATCTCTAAAATCTTATGAATTAAAATCATTTTAGCAGATATGAAAATCAAATAGGAATAGTCTATGAAGATATACCATGAAAATAAATATGCCATCAGAATTGCTCACAATTCTATACAATATGATAGTACTAAGCATGTGGATGCAGATAGAAATATTTATAAAAAAGAATTAAAAGTGGATTAATTTGCTCTAAATATGTTTCAACAATAATTGCTCACAATTCTATACAACATGATAGTACCAAGCATGTGGATGCAGATAGAAATATTTTTAAAAAAGAATTTAAAGTGGATTAATTTGCTCTAAATATGTTTCAACAAGAAGATGGCTTGTTGACATAACTCAATAACTCCACATTCAAGAATATTACAAGTAAACTGGAAGTGGTAAATATGCGCTGTCTATTTTGAGGGAAAGTGTTGAAAGGTCATTGGATCAAGAAGGGTTGGCATAAGAGCTGGGTAAGAAAAAATAGATGTCATGAATTCATTTCTTAGAAGAAAATACCTCTTCCATAGATTCATATATGAAAATGAAAGGATCTCCCACTTATTGCTTTCTTGACATTAATTTGCAATTTCTAAATGATCAAATGTAAGATAGCTAGGGACAATTTTTTGTGTTTATTATAGTAATTATTTATTTCATTTTTCTATATATGTAGTTATGTTCATAAATAACCATCAAAAGAACGAACAATCCAAGCTTTCCTAGTCATCTCTTCTTTTTTTTACATATAGTTTTGAAATCAGTTATACTTGCCATATTAATATATCATTTTCAATTTATAAAAATCGCCTTGTGCATGGTGAAGGCTACAGTTTACCAGCTTGGCATTTGAATTTGCACTTTGTATTTGTTTCAATCCATATCTTGGTTTTTAGCTTATTCGTATTCTGCCAAGTGCATTTTAATATGCTATTTTATCCCTTGTTGAATGGGCTGTGGTCTTTTCATTTTATTTTTGTGTAATTTGAGTTTTGTCGCTGTTGCTTTCTCTCATTCTTTTTAATAAATTTTTAATAAGCAAGTACTTGCTTCTAGTTAGTGAACTTAGGTGGTTCTTTGTTCTAAAAACAAGAATTTGATCCCTAGACTTTGTTGTTATTTTTTTCGCACACTGACACGGCTTTGTTATCTTCATGACACATCATTATCTTATTTATCATAGGAGGAGGAACTTAGGAAGGGTGAGCTGGAAGCTGACAAGGACAGAATGATGAGAGAATATAGGGCACAGCTGGATGCTGATAGAGCTCGTAAACTCGCAGTTGGAAAGAACCATTCAGGCTTGAAGTTGCATCACAGTAAAGGTTGACGTACTCCAAACGTTTCATTTATTTTGTTCAAAATAACCTAGTGGTGGTTGACAAAGAATTGGTTCCGTTGTTATTTGTTTGATTTTTCCTTTTTTTTCTGTTTTCTTACCCTTGATGTCAAAAAGAACTGCAGCAAAATGGATGGAGGATGATGAATAGAAATATATGCATAGACAGTGAAAAATTACCCTACAAGACCTATGTAAAATTTTATTAGAATAAATTAAATTATCATAATAAAGATGAGAAATTTTATTCTCAGAACATCTTTAGAATAACTATTTTATAATTTCTCCTTAGGGTGCATATAAAATCAATGGTGTAATCATGGTCCAAAGTGAGGGAATCAAAAGATTTTCTCAAAATTTAACGTTGAGACTTTTGAGATTACATAACAGTAAGAGATTTTCTTAAAAAATCTTTTAGGTCAGGGCCACACCTTAACCCTTCCTGTTTCTGCCCTTATATATATGAATTTCACCGTTGGAATTGCTACATTTTTACCATTAAGAACCGCTGAGAAAATTTTATTTTCTTTGCTGTTTGATTTTTTAGTATTTTTTAGACTCTGTTTACATACATGCCACCTAATTCTTTCTTATTGAAATCTCACACAAAACTCTTCTTGCTGTAGCAACTATACCCAACATTTTCTTCTACTTAACCTCAACTAGCCATGGTTTGGTTAGTTGTAATCATATAGATTTTGGAACAACCCAACCATCTATTTATCTAAACAATAGTTTTTAAAAAGAAGAAGCTCCTTTCTCCTCTACCAGTAGTCCTTTGACAAATAGGGCTGTGTGACGCAATTCTGGCTCCTCGATGTGGTTTACCACCAGTCTGAATGTGGTCAATCTAGCTATCAGTAAGTGGTCTGATGACCATCCAAGGTTCGTTGATTTTGTAATGATCTGACAATTAATGGTGGACTGGTGGTCCTATGTTGGTCTGGTGGGCACTGAGAGGCATAGAATATTTGAAGTTAACTGAACGTTCTGGGTGCCCTGGAGTGCTACTTTAGAATTAGAATTAGAGTTATAATTTGGATGGTATTATGTTTTGTTTAAAAAAATGCGTGATATGGAAGTTAACGAAAAGAATCGGGTGGCAATGGCATGTATCCCGTGTATTTTAATGTTTCAATACTTGTCTGAATGTTCCCTGCAGTACTATTTTTTAGCAGTTTATAATGGTAATGGTTTTTTGTACTTTTATGCATATCTTGCTGTTTACTTGTGCGACATAAATGCAGTGAAGAGGGACAAAGATTCAAAGAAAGGAAGTACAAAGAAAAGAAAGGTTTATTCTATACTTGTTCATGATTTGTTTTATTTAGTAGTTTTACTCGACTTTTTTTTCTACCTCATCTCTGTTTTTTGTATTTTGGACTTACGCTCATGTATACACACATAGGACTTGCTTGTGGTGCTGTTTGAATGCTCATGTTCTTGTTCCTTCTACAAAATGATTGGTAGGTTAAAATCAATTTGCTGAAATCAGCATTTTTCTTGATCTAAAGTAAGATGCAGCATTTTTCTTGATCTAAATTAAGATAAATTTGTCTGTCCCTTGAAAATAGAAGTAAATTAGAGGGGGTTATTTTATTTTTAGCTAGTTAAATACTGATTAATTAGCTAACTCAAATAGCAGTTAATTAAGTTAATAGGTAACTACTTGAGCCAGGGTTTCATTGCTTAACTATCCCTCCCAATTTTTTTACAACCACTTTATAATTTTGATTTTTTTTATTGATGGGCTGGTTATACTTTTTTTTTTCTTTCTTATCTGATCGGAAAAGAAAAAGAAATTTTGAGGTCTTTATGTAATTTATGAAAAATGGGTTGATGTTTGAGAAACCTTGAAGAAATATACAAACTTAATTAAATAAGAAAAATTTTTGAGAGAAAGAACTCCATGCACAACCTAGAGAGGGTGGGCGAAACTCGACAAGCAGGACTTAGAGTTATCTGTGCACAAGTTGCATCAACGTTGAAGAAGCAATCAATGCCCTCAACAAACTATCAAATTTCATTTATTTCCTCTCATAGAAGAGATCTAGAACTTTAGAGATGGGAAAACATAAACTCTAAATCAAGGGTGAGATTATTATTATCGTTATTAAATTTCATCACCCAAATTCTGTGCGAACCTGCCCCCCTGGGCACAATTATCAGGCGATCCCATTGCTACTCTGTCCATTTGTTTTTCTGCTTTGATTGTGGGAAGGGATGTATATCTCACATTTTCTTGTATCTTTGCGTGCTGCATATGATTGTTGTATATCTTCTCGGGAAGTCGGCAGCCTATTATTTTCCTTCTTTGACGTATGTTCACATTAAGAATGACATTTGCTTTTTCCCATTCCATATCTGTTATGTTCATCTTTTCATATATTTTGGGCTGCTGTTCTCAGCCCTTGTTGTTGCTCCTTTTGCTCAGTAGTCTTCCTTTTTTGAGGCTCCTTGTGTTTCGGAGAATCCACTTTTGTTCCTCCTAGCTTCTGTCCTTTGCCATTCCTTGCTCCAATTATTCTCCTTATTTTTTTGGATTCCCTTACCTTTTGCCTGTACCTTTCTCTCCTTTAGAATGTGATGGGTGGGTTACCAATGTCAACAATATCCTAATCACTCTAGGATTAAATTTAATGGCATAACACAATACAACTCTTCTATAGGATTGTATGCCACATCCACCCTAACTGCGACAATGTCCATCTAGATTTAAGAATATCAAATGTTCAAGTTCAAGAAGTCAATGTTTAGTATATGGTGGGAGCAGCCTATTTAAATGCATATTATTCCAGTTGTGTTCTAAATTTGTAATCAGGTGGTGTCACGACCTGACCCAGAGCTTGAAATTAATCATGACGGTAACAAACAATCGGTCGGTGGAAATCAATTCATCGCTTTTCTATTTCTCTCACTAACAATTTAATATTCAAAAATTCATGAAAGAGTCACTAAAGAAAGTAATTAAAATTAATATGTATAAATTTGTACCTTTCTGATTTCTGTTCTCGCCTCCAATACACAGTTGCTTCTATTCTATTCATTGTGTTCAAAAACTTAAAACCTAAAAAAATATTTAAATAATATAATAAGTTGTCTAAACATAACCCATGAGTAATCACATTTCTAAGCTACCATAACAAAAAAAAAAAAACATGTTGGTCTTTCATATCTCTATAAGAAATCTTATAATATTCTAATCTTTCATATTTTTATAAGAAATCTTATATATGCTAATGTATGTGTCAATATTACTTTCCAATAAAAATACTCAAATATCCTGTATGCATTTACATTAACTTTGCTTTTACTTTATATATTTTACATACACATCCGCCTGCTTGAGGATCACAGTCAAAACACCCTGATACACCCTGACTGATATTATCCCGTCAACACAACGGTTAGTGATCTAAACATCACAATTGTCTTGGGTGGAAATATTCTTATCCACCCCTGAACGATATTTACCCTGTTACACCCTGACTGATATTATCCCGTCAGCACAACAGTTAGTGATCTAAACATCACAATTGTCTGGGGTGGAAATATTCTTATCCACCCCTGAACGATATTATTCTGTCGACATAGCAATTAGTCATCTAAACATTATAATTGTTTAGGGTGGTAAGTTCTGTCTACTTGCCCCTAGTCGATCTTATCCCATCGTCATAGTGTTTAGTGATCTAACAATCACAATTGTCTGGGGTGGTAGGAAAATTAGGTGCACGAGTACACTGGTGTTCCCTCCTTGCACCATTAGCGGGTGAGCTCTGAACATGCATATACAATCATTCATATATAAACTATTTCATTCTTTATAACATATATTATTCTAAGACAACTTCATGCATATACTAGCATGTGTACTTACTGTGTTATGCAACTAATTATCATACATATCATGCACATCTCTCATATCATTCATAACTCTTATATTATGCATATCTCTTATATCATACACATCTTTCATGTTATTCATATCTTTTATATCATGTATATCTCTTATATCATGTGTATCTTTCATATCATGCACATTTTTTCCTACTGTGCTTATCATGCATATCTATCATGTCTAATATTATGAAGGATATAACTAAACTAGAGCATTTACGGAGTCAAACATGCAGTTTGAAATAAAGATGATTATTGATATTTAAAAGTATAATTACTCACATCGGTTGCCACGCTAGATTCTTAATCATTGGTAACAAGCTAGACGTGCGATAACTTTACATTATATTAATAACATATAAAACAAAAATCAAACTTTAAGATTTAAATAATTTTCGTTAATCAAATTATTCTTTTTAACATATAGTTAATTTACCTGAAATTGACGGAGCAGTCGTATGACTAGTTTGTACATGCTTGCCTCGAGCTCCTCATGTAAATAACCTGAAATTCGTAAATATCTTAGGATCTCATGATTTATTGCTTATAAAATGATTTAACTCAAAACATAATGGATTTGCCAAAACGTACCTCAAACGTGCTTCACTGCAAAACCCAACCTTCTTCGATCCTAGCAAATATTCTTCCCTCTTTTTCCTATCTTAGCTTACTTGAAATTCGTAAATATCTTGGGATCTCATGATTTATTGCTTATAAAAGAATTTAACTCAAAACATAATGGATTTGCCAAAATGTACCTCAAACGTGCTTCACTGCAAAACCCACCCTTCTTCGATCCTGACAAATATTCTTCCCTCTTTTTCCTATCTTAGCTTACTACTCCCTTAGCCTTGTTGATTTTGAGCTAGAAGCCCTTACGAAAACCCATAAACCAACTCCTTTGCTTCTGACAGGACCTCGTCTTCGCTACGACAACCAGAAATAAAAAAGATATACAAGTCATGGTAATTCTAAAATTGACAGTGTGGAAAAGAAAACGAATATCTCAAATAGCTTGAATGAGGGTTTCACACTTACCAAAAGTTCACCGGGAGCTTTTACAAAAAGTTGCGGCTTCTCTGGTGCTGCTCGTCTCTACTGCTCGCGTCAATGTTATAAGGAACTGAAGCTGGAGCTGCGGTATCAGTCTGCCGAGAGTGATCACATACAGGGAGAGGGCTTCGAGCGATGAAACCGAATGTAGGGAAGGAAATTGAAGGCTACGACACCTGGAGTCGCGCGACTTGATATCGCGCGGGTAATGTCGGTTGTGAAAAGTGAGTGGAGTTGGAAGAGATAATTAAGAGTTAATTAAGTTAGGTTAAACTTATAACTTTCAATTTTAAATATTCCAATCTATTCATAATTTATATATAGTATTATATATCAAATAAACCGATTTGACATATAAAATTTTATAAAATTGATTCGGTTGAAATCTGAGGGATGCAATATTTGTGGTTAATTTGTCAAAAAAAAATTTCAGTTATTTCTCAAAACCCATTATTACGGGTGGGGATGAACATCCATCCTTATTGACAGAAAAAGGAACAAAAATATTGCTAAATATAGCCCCTGGCTTATTTGATAGTCCTTGTGAGATGCGCACAAGATTTTGGTGTTCACTGTACTAATGGAAATTAAGACTAGTTTGAAAATGGAGATTCAGAAGTTAGTACGTTAATTCGAGGCATTGAAGCTTGAGAGGTGAAAATAACAGGTTATAAAGGAAACAGATTTAAAGAAGTGGGAAAGGGCATTTATAATCCATGAATTTACATACATGCTGGTGAAAATATGTCATGAAAGTGTATGATTCAACTACCATAAAAACTCCTAATGTCGCCCATCCACTAGTTAATAAAGACTGCTTACACTTTGATTGACTAAAATTCTGGTAAGTCCACCTTGAAAATAAGATTCCAACATCTAACTTGTGGAAATAGCAAACTCCAACGGCTATATTCAAGTTAAAAGAAGAAAAAATTAAGAGCACAATTAGCCAATCACTTGGGTGAGTGGCATTGACTTTGGTCTAGAATACATCATGGGTTAAAATCCCTTCCAAAAATAAATAAAAAAAATAAAATAAAATAAAAGGTCTATTTGGGCACATTACTCTACCATTAATATAAGACTTGACAAAAAGAATGGATTGCTACAAAATTTGTGGCTGTCGTCCTCCCGCATCTTCCTGATATGGGGGTAATAGATATCTGAAAAAGCAGGCCATTAGAAAAGCATTGCGGGAAATCAAGGGTCCACTTCATCAACGGTTACTTAAATCCAGCGTTAGATTATTACACACTATATGAATTTTATATAAAATAAATCATTCTTTTTTTAATTGTTGTTCTCTGTAAAAATTATAATTTTATTGAAAGTAATCAAAGGTGA